ATCATTTTTCTTTTTGTTAAGATTAGATGCTATCACTTCAAGATCAATAGGAGACTTAACATTTTATYTTAGTTGCTTCATTAGTTTAACATCCACTTCTAACAATGCTCTACATACTTCTTTTAGCATAGCACTTAATACCTCTTCATTGATGATGGTGGCAATGCCCAAAGAGTGTAATGATGTTATTTTTCTTCCAAGGTCTGCTTGAACATTCTTGAAGACTTTAAGATGTGCTTATGAGGAACTCTTTTGCCTCATGAGGAGATGACATCATTCAGCATAGTTCAGTCTTTCTGGAAGAGGACATACTTCCAAAAGGATCTGGGGAGATGTTTCTTTGTTTTGATTGGCTTTGGTTTTACTTTTTTACTATTAAATAACTGAGGCAGCAAAGTTAGTGGCAAAATAGGGTCTCTAGGGATACAAACTAGGAAAGAAAGCCAGGCCTCTAGGAGCTACTTTAAGAAAAAGGGATTAGATCCAAGGAGGTGCTCTGGGGAAACTCCGAAATGGGGCATCTATTATTTATATTCTTGATGACTGCCATTATGACTGGTGTGTAATGAAATCTTAGTGTGGTTTTGATTTGCATTTCCCTAATTGCCAATGATATTGAACATTTTTCATATATTTGTTGGCCATTYATATCTCTTCTTTTGAGATTTGTTTGCTTAAAATGTTTGCCCATTTGTTAATTGGGCTATTTGATTATTTGGTGTAAAGTTTTTTAGTTCTTTATTCTGGATTTTAATCCTCTGTCAGAAGAGTAGCTAGCAAAGATTTCTTCCCATTCTGTAGATTCTCTCTTCACATTCCCAATTGTTTTCTTTGCTGTGCAGAAGCTTATTAATTTGATGCTATCCCACTTATTAACTCTTGCCATTATTTCCTGAGTGTTAGGGGTCTCATTGAGAAAGTCATTGCCTGTGCCTATATGCTGGAGTGTTGACCCTATGTTTTCTTTTAGGAGGTGCATAATTTCTGATCTATTTTCTAGGTCTTTGATCCATTTTGATTTAACTTTTGTGCAGATTGAGGAATTAGGATCCAGTTTCGTTCCTCTACATATGGATAACTAGTTTTCCCAGGATCAGTCATTGAAAAGTCTGTCTTTTCTCCAATGTATGTTTTTGGCATGTTCGTCAAGGATGAGATGACTTTATCTCCGTGGATTTGTCTCTGTGTCTTTTATTTTGTATGATTGGTCTATGAGTCTGTTTTTATGCCCAGTACCATGCAGTTTTCGTTACTATAGCTGAAAAATCTGTTCTTTTATAACTGGTTTATTGAAATATAATTTACATGCCATCAAATTCTCCCATTTGAAGTGTATAGTTCTATAGTTTTTAATCCATTCATAGAATTGTGCAACCATGAGCACAATTTTTCTGTATTTTTATTGGTGTATTATAGTTGTACATAATGGTGGGATTTGTTGTTACGTATTCGTACATGCACACAATATAACAATATAATTTGACCAATATCATTCCCCAGTATTTCTCCTTTCCCTCCTCTCTTCCCAACCCTGGCCCTCTGGTTTCTTTCCTCTACTGATCTCCTTTCAGTTTTTATGAGACACCCACACACACACCTTCCTTTTCCTTCCTCCTCTCTAGCTTCCACATATGAGAGAAAACATACAACTCTTAACTTTCTCTTCTCGATGGCTGCCATTTTGAGTGGAGATGAAATCTTAGTGTATTTTTGATTGGCATTTMCCTAATTGTTAATGATTTTGAATCTTTTTTTTCACATATTTTTGGTCATTTGTATTTTTTCTTTTGAGAAGTGTCTGTTTAGTTCATTTGTTTATTTATTAACTTTTTTGTTGTTGTTGAGTTTTTTTATTTCTTTATGTATTCTGGATATTAAACCTTTGTCAGAAGAGTAGCTAGCAAAGATTTTATCCCATTCTATAAATTCTTTCTTCRTTTCTGTTTCCTTTGCTGTGCAAAAGAAGCTTTTTAATTCGATGCCATCCCATTTATTAATTCTTGGCATTATTTCCTGAGTTTTCAGAGCCTTATTGAGAATGCCATTGCCTGGAGCATTTTTTGAGCATTTTTATCACCCCAGAAAGAAACCACATACCTATCAATAGCCATTTTCTATTTTCTCTGTAATCCCCACCATGCCTTGAGTTTCATACAAATTTCTAATCAGCTTTCTCTTTCCATGGATTTTCCTATTGTGAACATTTTATATAGATGCAGTCATACACTATCTGGACTTCTCTGTCTTTCCCCACTCAGTATAATGTTTTCAAAGTTCATACATGTTGTATCATGTGTCAGTACTTTTTTTAATTGCCAAATAATATTCCAATGTTGCATTTTTGCATCATAATTACCATTACAATAWGTAGCTCTGTACTGAAGCCTTTTAAGATGGACCCATTAATATAGAATGAGTGGATCAAGGAGGGCCAACTTTTAAAAATATTTTAATCTTATTTATCTGTATACTTCAATGGATTACATGTAATGTGATTTTACTTTAATTACCTGAAAAAATCAAACAAATATTAAAGAAAGAATCCTTTTTTTACTACAGCACTCTCCCACTCCACCCAGACCCCTTGGACCTGTTCTTGTAGCCTGAAGAAAGTAATTTTCTTGAACTTTGTACAAATATTTTCAATTCATTTTTAGAAAGCATTTTTTCTCTCTCTACATATACATRTATGTATGTAAACAAACTCATTTTTAAATGTTTTAAATTGCATGTTGTATGCAGGTTAATAGCTCCAATGTGATGCCTGTAACATAAATCCCTATGTGCATTATTTAACAGAACAAAAACTAATTATACCACTTCTATCCTCTCATCAATATTCATATCATATAAATAAACCATAAAGTAATGGGAGATCTGCATCCCAATAAGTAACTCTAATAGTCATCCTAATAATTCATACCATGCCCTCAGGATAATACCATATTGTATTTCAGGTGGCTATTTTAATTTCAAGGAGGGTAAATGGAATTAATTTYAAGGGGCTTCGGATTGAGTGTGGGACCAGAACACTTAGTTTGATTATAGATTTGATAATTAACTCATCTTTAAACTCCAAAAATATTACCTAAGKGTAATTGGAGTACACAATAAAACCAGATATTTAAGAGAATGGAATTTTGTAAAAGAATACAAATACCTAATGGACACTCTGCTTATGTTTGGTAGAATGTGAGAAAATACTCTGGTTATTTAGGTTTGGAGGGAACTCTTCCAAATTGCCCAGCAGTCTGAATGACAGCTCAGGTTTAGCATGTTTCCCCACTGCCATGCAAGAGCTACATGGCCATGATTTGACACTCAGTTCTCCAGTATTTTACTCCCCTCTGGAAAGAAATTATTTCTTTTCACAAAATACCCAGTGGCAGGACATTTTCGTGGAGTTAAGTTTGGATTGGCTCATACTTCTAGCCCCTTCTTTCAATTCTGAGGACTAAAATGCAGTTTCAGGGAAAAGGCCACGTGGTTGTCTTCTGGAGATCATCACTGCAGCTGATCTGCAAGTACTTTGAATTATTTTATGAAAAATTAGGGAAAGGATTGAATGATTAAAAACTCAAACCAATTATTTTTTAATTTTTAATTCACTCCACTAAAAAATACTTTGTTGCTATTTTTAGATCATTCTACCACCAAATGACCCATGCTAAAACACTATATTGCCATTTTTATAAAATCAGAAAGCAGTGCAACCATTTTTTCAGTTTATTTCGAGTCAATAGTTAGTAATATACTAACTATTGACTCGAAATAAGAGAAAGATACTGGTTACAGGATTCATCAAATTACCAGGCCTCCTGCCCATCTATCCCGGAGAAAGGGACACAGCAAATACAGTTGGATATTTGCATAAAATATCAAATGAAGAGTGATCAGAAGCACTGTGCTGGTGTCCTACTTATGAGCTTAGGATAGAAAAATCAAGATGTGCAATAGGTCTAATCCAGGTTGGATTTATTTTCTATGCTAACTGATCAGTGTAAAAGAACTTTGCCTGTTTCAGTTTATAATTAGCAACCRTAACCCTTTCTCATACCGGTAATTAAAAAAAAAAAAAAAAACCAGCAACTAAATGCTGCATTCTGGTTTGGCGTTTTGATCTTTTTCTTCTCTGTTCAATCCTTACCCTTCTCCTGGAGAGTAGGCATTATTACTTTTCCCATCCTTTAGGTGAAGTTCAAAGAGCACAGGAGACTTGACCAAAGGTTAGCCAGCAACCTGGGCCTGGGGAAAGTTGCCCTTCAACCAGTCAGACCTACAGCCTCTCTCCTGGTCAGGGTCTATTCTAGAGCTGGGTTTAAATAGTGCAGAGGGCAAGAGGGCAGTGAAGGGGAGCAAGTGCTGGGCTTCATTTCACAACACCAGGCTCTCCTGCCAGGTAGCTGTTTGCCTCAGGCATTTGAGAGGCAGTGGTMGCCCCCCCTAGAGTGAAGGTCCTCTCAAGCCAACCATAAGATCCCTACGCRCCTCAGGGCCCACGTTCCAGCCTCTCAAACCTGATGTCAGGTGGAGAAACCCGCCAGGGCCCCAGAACTGTTRTCCGACTACCACGCCTCTCTCCCAACTGAGTGGTGACCTTACCAGCTGGGCGGCCCGCAAAGCGCAGGATGGCCTATTTCGCYCCTTGCTCTATTTCGCAAGGTGCTTGAGGTATAACCTGAGGCTGCCTTTGCAGGCCCCTAGGTTTTCCAGCCCCTAAAGGTCTCCCCGATAGACCACTGCGTGGGAACTCGGGGCTTCTAGTGCCCGCCACTTCCCGCTCTAAATCGTTGGCTCTTAGTGGCGCGGGTAGTGACCTTCGCGCTGCGTCCAAAGCGGAGTTCCCACAGGCGCTAAGAACCCAAGGCCGGGTTTCTCTGAACGCGCGTGTCCGGGGGCGGAGGCGGGGAGAAGGGGGCAGCAGCGCCCAGCGGCCGCACGCAGGGCCGCGCGCCCCCCGCCTGCGCGTCCTGGGCGCGGGCCTCCAGGGAGGATCCCGGGCCGCAGCGGCCGCCGCGGGCTGGGACACTTGTTCCCGCCCCCGCCAGCCGCCGCCCCCACCGCGGCCCAGCGTCTCGGGGCCCCGCCCGCCGCCCGCTGCAGGTGAAGCGGCCGCCGGGAAGGTGCGTGGGGATGATCTCACTCGCGCGCTCGGCGCCGGGAGGAGGAGGAGCGGGAGCGGATCCAACTTCCGGGTAGTGCCGCCGCACGCCACCGGCATCTTGCTTCTTCTTCCCCCTCCCCCGGGGCCCCCTCGCCTCTCCTCCTTTCCTTTTATTCCCAGCCCCACCCGCCAAAATGAACAGCTCGGACGAGGAGAAGCAGCTGCAGCTCATCACCAGCCTGAAGGAGCAAGGTAGGCGGGCCCGCGGGCGCCAGGTGTGGGAGCCGCGGCCCGTGGGCGGGGACGGCTCGCGAGCTGGGTCTGCGGCAGGTGGGAGCCGGGCGGGGGGCGTTGCGGCCGTCGCGGTCACCCGGTAGCTCCGTCACCTGGCAGTAGAGCGCAGGCCGAGACGAGGTGCGAGTGTCGGGGAGGGTCGGGCCCCGCCGTGGGAGAGGCGCTGCCGCCTTGGCCCGAAATTGGAGATCCGGGCCAGGGACAAGGACCTGGCGCGGACCGGGGCGCGCGACACCCATTCCACGCKGGAGAAGCGGGTGGGGCCGGACGCTGGGCGGCTCTGGGCGGCTCAGCTGGCCGTGCTCCTGGCCTTGGCCCCACCCTTGCACATTTGGGGCGCTCGCGGGCCTGCAGCGCTGCTTCACAGCCTTTCCAGCATTTCATTGGGGTCGGTGCAGTTCCTCTTTCCTTAGCCAGGATTTTCAGGCCGCGATGTGTTTTTATCACTTCCCATTTTTAGCAGTGTATTAGTCAGTGAATCAACACCCTGTCTGTGCGCCTGGTTTCCTGAATGAACAGTGTTGGCGCTGGGCACAGGGCAGCCAGGCCCTGTGCACACGTTTCTCTACTGCTTGTAACTGGGGATTATCCCTCAATAAAGAGCTGTTTCAATCATTTTCATCATACCACCCTTCTGAACAAAGCCAGATCAGAGAGCCATTGTTAATCTAACACATTTTAAAAATTCTTATTACCCTGATCAAAGGGTGGTCTGAGAATGTGGGTCAAGAAGGAGCCGAACATGGAGATTTAGGAAGTAAAAACGAGTAGGTACTTGTGCTTCTCTGAGTGACTTGCTGACATGGCCAGAAAGTGAAAGGGGCCCTGCTCTTTGGCTAACCCCTGGTTTAGTCTCAGTTCTTCTGCTTCTCTTGGCTCAGCTCAGAAGCTTTGTGAACTTGGAGGAATGTCCGCCCTTCCTTGGATCTTGTGGTTTCAGTCAAGCCTTACCTGTCTAAAAACAAGGACTAAACCAGGCGTCACATTGTCCTGTCCAGTACTATGTATAACCTGTTGCTTCTTGATTACACCATCTTCCCATCTGCAAGGGTACTCCTTGCAAAAAATTCTTAAYAGGACCATGTACTGTGTGACCTTGGAGGAAATTACTTAACTTTTCTAAAGTGGACATTGCACATTTCTCTTTGATATCTAGTATCTGGAATGTGCTGGATAGATGTTAGTCTTCTTGGTCCTAGCACCCTCACTTCCCAGCCTAGACTAGCCMGAGGGCATGAAGTCAAGAACCAGTGAATCTGCTGGATGGGCAGAATTTCCTTTATAGGAAATCTYAAGTTTTATTAAGGGCTGCATTCTATTTGAATGTTATTTCTAGACTCTTGATTCATATTCCTGGACACATGGAACCTTCATTATTAGTATTACTGGATATCACATCTCTTGATGGATGCTCAGTCTTCGAATAATAAAAAGTTACTTCCTTTTCATTCTGTATATATTTTTAAGGGTAGATTAACAATGCAAGTAACCCACAAATTGTTTTTATTTGATTTTGGAACACGTTCTCTGTCTCCATGTTGGATTAAGGAGTGAGGAAAAAGGGTGTATTTCTAAGTTTATGGTTCTTCTGTTGTATTGGGAAACATCCATGGTGTTGGTATTTTCAGAGGCTATATTTCCTTGATTAAAGGCATATCAAAGGTAATAGAACAGTTGACTTTGAAATTTGTGTTTATTAAAAGTACACTTTTTATAATGATGTTGAGTCTAGTTATCCAGGTGTGAGGATTTTTTTCAGCCCATAGTATGAATTTTATATATCTCAAAGCAGGGCATTTACCATTGGATCATTGACTGTGATAACAGTTAACTTATTTCAAGAGTATTTAATTGTTACTTGACTTGTGGAACTAACTGGAAAGCTAGGGATTTGAAAYGAGAACTCAGGCTCTTTGGGTGTCTCCAGTATTATGATCAATTTTGTAAAGTTTCGGTGTGTTCTACCCATTAACACTTTGAGTCCTCATTTCACTACCCCTGTTTGATAGGAAGGAGAAGAACCATCATTGAGTAGATATACTAGTTTCCTTTTTTAATTCCAAGTAAACACATGTTTTCCTTCCTTTAACAAATACCATGTGGTTACCACAGGTGAGGCCCATGTGCTAGGCACTGGGGGCCCAGGGAGTGAACTAGAAAATTTTTGTCTTTGCTTTTTTTCTTTTTTTGTCTCATAGATATCATTAATCAAATAATCACACTGATAAATGTCCAATTACCCATTTTTTTCTGGTATAGATTCTTAGACGTGAAATTGTTGGGTTAGAGGTCATGTACATAATAAAGTTCTGCTAGATAGTTAAAAAAATTTCCTATGGGGGCTGATTTTAGCTCAGTGGTGGAGTGCATGTGAAGCCCTGGGTTCAATCCTCAGCACCACATAAAAATAAATAAATAAAATAAAGGTATTGTGTCCAACTACAACTAAAAAATAAATATTGAAAAAAATGCCCCCTAATATGGCTATATCAGTTCACATTCCCCAAGTAGCCTCTCTATCCCCACGTGCTGGTTAACATTGACTGTTAGCCATCCTTACTAATTTGACAGCTTGACAAGTTTCTGAATTTTTGCCARCCAAGTGGGCAAAATGGTACCTTTAAAAATTTGTATTGCCCTTGTTATTGGTGAAATTGGAGGTATTTTTATGTGCTTATCGGGCATTTGAGTTTCATCATATGGTCCCTTCCTTAGTGAGTTTTAAGTCTCAAATTCGAACCCATTCCTCAGGAGGGTATGCAGAAAGAAGGTCTAAACTGCAGCTCTGACAGCAGTTTCCCTCATGTGACGCCTTCAGTGGTGTGGTGAATGAGGTTGCTTTTGACAAAAAGTTGTGAAATGCAGTGACGGAGTCTGTCATAATATGAACAATCTCTAATTTATACTTACCATTCCCTAGGCTCTGTGTCTTATAAATCACACCCACTTCTGAATTACTTCAAAACATTGTATGTTCCCTTCTAGTGAATGGTATAATTAGCTATATTATGTCTTTCTAGAAAGTTATATTATGTCCCTTAAAAAAAAATTAGCCAGTGTGTGATTGCTTATGTTCAAGCAGATGTTGAGGTAATGAGGTAATTCTCCTTTTGTCTTTTTTTCTGGCTTTATTTTATTGGACTGATTGACATCTTCAATGCACAGAGAAATGGCAACTTTGGATACTATTTCCGATGCATATTTCCTAGCTACTAAAGTGGACATTTCCCTTACAAAACACCACACAATTTGCTCCTCTCCGGAATTCTGTTGGAAAATGATAGACTTAGTTCAGCATTTGTTTAAGGTGCCTGATTTTCTGTGTAATTCATTGAACTCCCATGTGCTGAATATTCATGGCCAGGCACTGTGCTAGGCATCAGAGATAGAGAGATGAGTAAGACCTGGTCCCTGCTGGTGAGGAGTTCTGGCCTGAAGATGATGGCAGGCATGTATATTCCAGGAAGAGTGTCTGATTGGTCTAGATGGGGTCATGGATTCACATCCTTTGGCCGGGAAGCACTGTGATTGGCAGCCACGGTGAAGATCCATGCAAGGGAGTAGTTGTCCAAAGCAGAATGAATGACCTGCCATCATCAGAAGAGAGGATACAACTGGAGTGACATAAACAACAGGTGCCCACTAACCTAGTCAGAATAGTAATGGCCACCCTGTGGAGCTCAAAAGTTTTGAAGAGAGTGATTGCTGCTTACTAGTAGGGATGTTCTTTTTTTTGTGGGTGGTCCTAGGGATCAAAGCCATGCTAGGCAAGCACTCTACCACTGAGCTGTAGCCCTAACCCTAAAAGGATGTTCTCATGTAAGACCAAACAACAAATTCCCCGAATGTATGGATCATTCTTGGGTAATACTATCTAAAATGGATTTTCTTTAGCTTTTTTTTTTTTTTTTTTTTTCAGTATTGGGGATTAAACACAGCTCCTGGTGCATGCTAGGCAAGGGCTTTTCCACTGAGCTTGCATCCTCAGCTCAGATGATTGGTTTCATAACAAGGAAACCTCCTTTCACTTTTATAATTAATATCATTTCCCCCAAGTTATTGAGCTGGCGCTTAAGATACAGATGGAAATTCAGTAAAGCTCATTCTTAGAGCTAAGCTAGTAATTTATGTATGCTTCTAGTGTTCTCTTGGCTTCTGGGTCAGAGGAGGATTATTTTGTCAGAAGGGGCCCACACTGTTGCCTATCACAGTGACCCTATCAGTCTGGAAAAGCTAAAGCATTGCAGTCACTGATCCACATGAAGTCACTCAGTAGAAAGCAGTTTGGAATTAAATGGTTGCCTTGGTTTCAAGCACAATCTTGGCCTTACACCAGTGTTTTCCTAAGTGTGGTCCAGGGACCAGCTACTTTTGAGTTATCAGATGTGTATTAGAAACTTACTTTCCTCCCAGATGAAAGAAAACGGGTGCAGGACTGATCACATGGGCACATCAAAGGTAGAGGCATAAGCAGATTTATTGCCAGGCACCTGACAAGGCTCTCTCTGGCTCAGAGAACAGCAGTAGGAAGGGAGAGCAGCGGGAGTGGGGAGCAGCAGCAACTCCCCCTTGAGCATGACTTTTAGAGGCCAGAATCATGGCCACCCGTTAGAGGTGGGTTTAGCCCTTGTGACTGGCCTAGCAAGCATCACCTGGTTTTTGTGGAAGGCAAGTTACAGTTCCTTGGGAACAGAGAAGAGCAACTTTTTATCGCTCAAGGAGAGAACAGAGACCGGCAGGTTTTTATCTCTCAAGGAGAGAACACAGACTAGCAAGTTTCTATCTCTTGAGAATAAGAACAGTATTCAAACAATGGGGGTGGGGAAAGGAGGGTGGCTGTAGTTATGCCAACCCCAGAGTCCGTGAATCATTGCCGAAGAGACGCCAGGCAGGCAGCCCTCCAGGACACCGGTGCTTAGCATGGCTGGCGAATAGCATCTTCTAGTCAGAATTCTTCT